ACCCATCAGAGGCAATTTGTCTCTTGATCCAGTGTTTCCATACCGAGACCAGACCCTCTGCACGGTTCTGACTGAACAATTCAATTGTATCGATATTCTGACATTGCCTATATTCCGTCTCTTCAGGTTAAAAACTTGACGCATATAACCGTTATGTAATTGCCTGTATCTTGCCATATTGGAGGAAGACAGGAATAATATTTGCTGTACATGTACAAGTTGAAGACCAACAATACAAATCCATGGTATAGCGGTTTAATACTCATTAGTCACATTATAAGTAGACCAGACATTATAAGTACCGAAGATCTGCCTACTTTTATTACTCTGATCAAGGAGTTATAAGAGATAACTCCTTGCTCTGATTTAGGGGGTGACACTTCTATTGTCCAGTGTGTGTACTTCGTTTGCGGGCTCTCTGTGCATGAAACCGTCGACAGCCATCTTTAGTTTTGGTCTTGGACTCGCTCTTCTTCACCTAGAACACAAACAATTACCAGGTGATATGACAGCAGCAAGAAAACTGTTCTTTACAACAACATGTTTCTTCAAAATGTTGCGTTTTATAGAATTAATTAATTTTTTTTCAGTTCAGATTTATTTGAATATTATTTCATATATCTTACAACCAAGAGACACCTCTGTGGATGAAATATTCTATTCATGTAGCCAAATAATCACACCAACACAACAAAGCTTAGCTTTTTGCTCAAAGGTAAATAGCATAAAGTCCATATGACTGAAAATTGTCATTTATTAATGACGAAGATAATGAGATATAAACTTACAAAAATGGGGGATTATCATACACCCCATGCTATATAAATGTCATAATATAAATAATAATAATATAGTTTAATGGGTGCAACCAAGATAAATTCAGAATAAAATATATATGAAACCACAATAGTAATTGGTGCAGAAATAGAGACTCTGGTTAGTAAAAAAAAGAAAAATATAGAGAAAAACACAAGGACTAAGGCGGGTGATGGGGGAAGGTGGAATGTGTCCAAATAAAAATGAAATAACGAAGCAAGTAATCTTCCAGTGTAGCTGCTTAAACTGCACTACGTAACAATGCGGGTAAATATCAAGCAGCTAAAAAGCTGGATGACTTAAATCTCACTGATGTAGACATTCCCTACATAAACACAATTATCTAAATTGCTGTTTTATGTAGCCAAATGATCATTAGCACAACGCAGCTCTGTTTTTGCTCAAAGGCAAATGAGGTAAAGTGCATATGACTGAAAATTATCATTTTTTATAGTAAAAAAATAATACGATCCTAAACACATCAAAGTAAGTTATAATCTGGGAATCGCATGACTAGGGGGCACATTAGGAGTAATTTAAGGTTGCACAATGAGATTACTGGTTCGAACAGAGAACCTGGAATAGCAGATAACTTAATGAAACAAGGGAGTAAGTAGTTACCTTGGTCATCAAAATCACCATACTTGAACCACATGGACAATAAGTGGGTGGGTCATTACTCGCCCAATCAACCATATCCCACAACAAAACTGAACCAAATTAGACACGTTTGACCGATGCCTGAAATTTTATTTCAGATTAAACCCTAAAAGCCTATCCAAGGTTTCATTTGTATTGAATCTATTTCGATGAGATAAAATAAAGAAAAGTGGTCAGAGTAAAGATTGTTTACGTTAAACAAGTGGTCAGAGTAAAGTTTTTTACTGCGTTAATGGAAATGTTTATCCATGTGCATAACACAAGAAAAATCAACCTGACACTTCTTGGAATTTTGAGGTCCAATGAAACAGATATCATCTAGTATACGGGACATGGCCGAATCATGAAATCTCTCCAACATTATCCATTGCATAGCTTTACTCATAGATTAAAAAATCTGGCACGAACAACTTGCACCTATTGGCAAACATTTCTCATAATAAAACAGATCACTCCAGGAAAAACCCTTAAAGGCCCAAGACAACTTTTTCTTGCATGAAAAGTTTAATGCCTAGGTAATAGGGTTGTAATAAGCATATTTATCAATAAATGTTGAAAAAAATGTTTTGGGCAACATTGACCTAGTTTTTGGTTATGTTCCACCGGTGACCCACTGGGCTTTAGAGGTAAACAAATGACTAAGTTTCAAGATATCACAAACCTCTTTTTATTACAATAACAACATAAAAAATAAATCTAAACCTGGAAGCGTAGATAACAACTGTATAAAACATTTCTGTGTGGTTTAAGACTATTGTATTTAGAATGAAAAGCCAGAATACTGAAATTATTATTTATCTTGAGATGACAATACAGACACATAAAAACCCACTAGACAATAGCATTAACTCCTTCTTATGGAGGCAGACATATTTGAGTGAAGTGAAGGATAATGATCTAGTTTCTAATTGGTCAACAAGGATAAACTAGTACATAAGGAATAGGAAATGGCAAAATGAAGTGGATTCATTTTGTGTGGTGTGGGTGGGGACGTGTCAAACGTNGGAGCCGGCGGAACGATCTAGACGGGACCGAAACCATGTGTACCGCCAGCGCTAACGCTGGTGGTACAAATATATATAAAATCACAATAGTTATTGGCGCAGAAATAGAGACTCTGGTTAGTAAAAAAAAAAAGAGAAAAAAATAGAGAAAAACACAAGGACTAAGGCGGGTGATGGGGGAAGGTGGAATGTGTCCAAATAAAAATGAAATAATGAAGCAAGTAATCTTCCAGTGTAGCTGCTTAAACTGCACTACGTAACAATGCGGGTAAATATCAAGCAGCTAAAAAGCTGGATGACTTAAATCTCACTGATGTAGACATTCCCTACATAAACACAATTATCTAAATTGCTGTTTTATGTAGCCAAATGATCATTAGCACAACGCAGCTCTGTTTTTGCTCAAAGGCAAATGAGGTAAAGTGCATGTGACTGAAAATTATCATTTTTAATAGTAAAAAAATAATAAGATCCTAAACACATCAAAGTAAGTTATAATCTGGGAATCGCACGACTAGGGGGCACATTAGGAGTAATTTAAGGTTGCACAATGAGATTACCAGTTCGAACAGAGAACCTGGAATAGCAGATAACTTAATGAAACAAGGGAGTAAGTAGTTGCCTTGGTCATCAAAATCACCATACTTGAACCACATGGACAATAAGTGGGTGGGTCATTACTCGCCCAATCAACCATATCCCACAACAAAACTGAACCAAATTAGACACGTTTGACCGATGCCTGAAATTTTATTTCAGATTAAACCCTAAAAGCCTATCCAAGGTTTCATTTGTATTGAATATATTTCGATGAGATAAAATAAACAAAAGTGGTCAGAGTAAAGGTTGTTTACGTTAAACAAGTGGTCAGAGTAAAGGTTTTTACTGCGTTAATGGAAACGTTTATCCATTTACATAACACAAGAAAAATCAACCTGACACTTCTTGGAATTTTGAGGTCCAATGAAACAGATATCATCTAGTATACGGGACATGGCCGAATCATGAAATCTCTCCAACATAATCCATTGCATAGCTTTACTCATAGATTAAGAAATCTGGCACGAACAACTTGCACCTATTGGCAAACATTTCTCATAATAAAACAGATCATTCCAGGAAAAACCCTTAAAGGCCCAAGACATGTTTTTCTTGCATGAAAAGTTTAATACCTAGGTAATAGGGTTGCAATAAGCATATTTATCAATAAATGTTGAAAAAAATGTTTTGGGCAACATTGACCTAGTTTTTGGTTATGTTCCACCGGTGACCCACTGGGCTTTAGAGGTAAACAAATGACTAAGTTTCAAGATATCACAAACCTCTTTTAATTACAATAACAACATAAAAAATAAATTTAAACCTGGAAGCGTAGCTAACAACTGTATAAAACATTTCTGTGTGGTTTAAGACTATTGTATTTAGAATGAAAAGCCAGAATATTGACATTATTATTTACCTTGAGACGACAATACAGACACATAAAAACCCACTAGACAATAGCATTAACTCCTTCTTATGGAGGCAGACATATCTGAGTGAAGTGAAGGATAATGATCTAGTTTCTAATTGGTCAACAAGGATAAACTAGTACATAAGAAATAGGAAATGGCAAAATCAAGTGGATTCATTTTGTGTGGTGTGGGTGGGGACGTGTCAAACGTGGGTCACAGGTGACCCACTGGGCCTTTAAGGGATGGACGCAGTTGATAATCGGTAAAATGTGGAAAACATCTTGAATATAAGATATACCTAAAAGAGCACCACGAACAAAATGTTGGACATGTGCGATAACAGCATCAATGAAGT